TGTTAATAAAAATAAATTTAATCTGTTCGGTTAACGAATCTCCATAAAATGACGTGTAAAATTACAATTTTTTAAAATTTCAATAACTTTTTAACGGTTTAGTGAATCGATTTGTAATTTTTACAGGAGTTTTAGAATTGAATGAGGAACGATCTTCCAAATTTTTATTTGTCTCGTAGTAGTTTGACATACTTCCCAAACACCCTTAATCTGTGTGATACGTTTTACTCGGGACGATAATGTGGTGGTTTCCCGTTGCCTTCCACATCGCAGTATTGTGCATCAGAGTGCCATACCGATCCTCGTTATCTCTACTACCCTCTGTACCGAAAGAGCTGCTGCCCTCTTTCAGGGACTTGTCCTAGTCTGGTTTCTCTTTAAGAACCCCCCCCCCTCCATTATGATTGAAGCTATGATCCGGCTTCCTAAATCATCGAAACTCGCAAGCCGATCCACCCACTTTAGTTTGTACATCAGTGAGAGTCTTCTTATCCTTTCTAATATCTCCTCATTTCTAACCTTTTCTGTGCGCCGTATTTTCGTCATCCGCCTATAACACCATACATCAAACCTTTTCTTTTCCGTCGCGCCCGCCGTCCACGTTTCGCACTCGTAGGTACAATAAAGTTTATAATAAATAAAAGTAATTTAATAATCAGTCAAAATCGGTTCATTAAAAGAAGAAAGGCCAATTCTGATTAAGTAGTTCATCCACCTCTGCGTTTAATGTACTTTTTTCTTTCGTACAGGAATTTAAATTGACTTACGACAAAAGCATGGCAAGTGTACATTTATCACAATAACTGCGCAACCTTCGAGGCGGCTTCTTTCACAGACGTAGGTACGATTCTTCTTCTTTTTTATTATCTACTTATTGCGTTACGGGATGTGTATAATTTTTTGAAAAATTGGTCTCTCTGAATTGAAGCTATGCGAGCAAAAAGATCACTTCATACAGGATTGGTATAATGAGAAGGAAACTGAATAAATAAATCTGGAATGCTACTGGAAATGTGAAATACTACAATTTCCATGTACCAAAAAAAAAGCCGCTACTGTCACCGTTACTTTTTAATCTGTACATCGAAGACGCGATCATCATCACTAAAGATAGTACAACTGTAGGGATAGATATAGAAGGGCAAAAGATTAGTATGCTTATATTTGCAGATGATAGCTTCTAGCAAGGAGGAGTTAGAGATAGCTTTAAATAAAATGGAAGCGGTATTGACAAAACAGTATTTTATGAAAATAAATAATAGTAAAACAAAAATGCTAGTATCTAAGGAAAGAAAAAGTAGGGAGACGCGAACATAAAAATAGAAGAAGTAGCTAATTTTAGGTATCTAGGAAGTCAGATAAAGGCATGGATTTAGTTCGACAAATCTTACGGACTGAATATTTTTGAATTCCTAAAACACTTGGGTGTTTCATTCCCACTAACCACTAATACTGATGGGTGAGCAGTCCCTCCGGAATACGTCGGAAGGCCCTCTTCAGTCTCCTTTCAGGAATCGTGGAATGAGTGGGCGGTGGTTCGGGTGAGAAGGATGAGACAGGCGAAATGAACACAGAAGAGAATGAAAGATTATCTGTGGAATTTTACTGCCTCAGCATTTGCCCAAGTGATCCAAAGAAACCATAAAAAAACTTGGACCCGGAATTGAACCGGCGTCTGTGATCTAAACCTCTAGACCATGCCGCTCGGTTCCATTAAATGTAAATATATATAGTGCCCGGCGTTTAAGGAGCGCAAAAAGTCATAAATCTTTAGATGCGCAGTGAAACAATCGGCCTGTGGACAGAGTGATAACTGCTCAGCCAAGACCAGTAACGTAATTACAAATAGTTACGAATTAACAGTGGAGAGAAGTGGTGATTTGTATTGTGTTCTAAATGAGCAATCTTGGTAAACGTAAAGTTCTGAGCTACGCGCCACTGAACTGCACATTTGTTAGAACAATGACGCTGTACCACTTTGATACAGCAATATTATTGGTCCTTCCATTTATTGCTATGCTAAACATTTCCGCCTATGTACCTGTCAATCTCACCATCGCTTGTTCTTCTTAGACGCCGGCCACTGTACTACAGATGGCGTTTACCACATTTTTTGTAGTAATTCATAAAACACTGTCTTAGGGCAGTAAAGTGGGTCTGTGTTTTAGCGAAACTGTCTATAACGCGCTGATGAGATCCAATAAGATTGAAATCGCACCATTATACTAAAAACCTCCCGTTGAAACATACTACTTACTTCTGCAATAATCTTAGAAGACCAATGTGTCTTCAGGACAATTATTACATTTCTTTATTTGTCCTGTTCGTTTTAAGTCGTTAGAAGGTGAAGAAATACTCGCATTTCCTTTCTCTTGTTAAAAATCTCTTTAGATACGAATTAGTTTTGACGCCTCCTAACGGAAAAACTTGACCATGTTATCGGAAAACGTCCTGTTGAAACTCTCACTCCAAGGACAAAGCATTACGAGTTATTTTTCTTCTTTTTTGACGTGACAACGTCTTATAATTCAATGGAGCCGGCTGCACGCACGAAAAAACATGACTCATGCGGCGTTACCTTGCTCTGAGGCGTTCCATTTAAGGCGTGAAATGCAAGCGAGAGCGCGGAACGAGCGACAAAGAGGCACAATCGGCCTCCGCGTTCGGCAGCGTTCGACATCTGTCTCTCTCCTACTTGAGTGAGCAATGCGTCCGCGTGGACAGCTGCTATACAGTAATACATTTCCATTTACCTCCTTCTCTATATCCATACAAAATATCTATCAAACAAATAAAATTAAAATTTTCTATTGAAAAATGAAACCATTCCATCAGTATTTTCTTATGACGTTGTCACGTTCAACTATCGTCAGTAAACCGACTTTACAGGCAACCGATTTTCTAGTTTTAGTACTACTAGGTACATACCTATTACATTTCCTTCTTTTTTTTTTTTTTTGAATCGTTGGAAAGTAAAGACAGTCGCATTGATTCTGCATGAGTGGTGATGCGCTATGCAATTAAATGAAACTTCTTTTTACTGAATGCTTTCTTTCAGTTTAAAATGCAAGTAGCATTCCCTTTCTCTGGTTGAAAATCTCTTCAGAACGTACATATACTTATCGTGTCTGGTTCATCTCCCATTCCGCATTTGAAACCTTATTATCGAGCCTTTTATTGTTGTTTCGCAATGTGCATGGACAGAACTAACATTTCACTTTAAGGTAATTCTACACCTGTTACTGCAACCAACTTACATACATAGGTGGGTTTAACGTATAACACGGCCGCAAAAGTCGAGCTTCAACGACATTAGAATGCCAATTTCACATGTATGTTTATTGAAAACCAACACGAATTAGAGCAAATCGGTGTAATAGTTACTTATTTTATTACTTCTAAGTACTTGATTTGCTGTTGGCGCAATTTTTAAAATAAAAGAAAAGGTTTACGTTCAAATTTTAGAATGGATCTAATTGGGTATGTATATATTAGCTAATATTATGGGGAATTTTTTGATAAAATTAATTGTCCAGGCATAGATATTTGTGCCAATGCAAAAACAAGTTCGATATAAATAATTATTGTAACAGTTAAATTGCTTATTTGGATAATTTGTAAATTAGCTGATAGAAAGTATACATTTTATTTGAAGGAAGAGGTCGTATATAAATGTCTATTAATATTTGCTGTAAACTGTAATATTTCAAAATGTTTGACAATGGCCTTACAAGGAAATCCACCTGTCAAACTGAATGTATGACGTAACCTATACAGGTAAAGAATTATTCACCGAACACCGAAGTTACCCATTTCTTGGTCGATATTTTTTCTTATTGCATCCCACGAGGTAAAATGCATAATTTGGTGAGCGGATGGAATATGTCTTTTCCATCATGTCTTTTTGAAAAAATGCCCTAAACTAACAAACTCTCAAAATACTTTGAACAGATCGTAACGCTACTCAAATAAGGCTTTAAATTTCATTAATCTATTAATTACATGAAAAGGTGACTGAAGGTATTTGTATGAATTTTTCTATACCACGCCGTAATTTATAAAACATGGTGTCGCCCCCCCCCCCTCGTGGGGAATTAGTTCAGTATAGGGTCCGATCCGGACCAAGATTGTCTGAAGACTTATCAGGGATGAATCAAGCTTCATGATCCGAATATGATTAAAAATCGTCACGCCATATATGATCCGCACAGGATCCGTTTAAAACTCCATTTTGTTTCCGATCTTTTACACATTATAATAAGAGAAACAAATGAAATCCATACTTTCTTTAGCTTTGGGTAAATCTAATAAGTCAACTTTTTCCAATCGTTTTCTACGAATTTTGGATTATAGGAATTTATTAGCACACCACAATATTTTGTAGTTTTCAATTATCAATTCCATATTGTTTTGCGGGCTGCAATTCACAGATTTTCGTAATTCCTTGCTAACCTGATTTGGCAGGTACTGATATCAATTTAGAACTTCAAAATTCCATGGATCATAACAATGAACTCGGAAAACGATATCGATGCAATATTTTAGATAAACCATTAGCAAGGAGTTTAGAATTTTTTGGGCTGTCTTCAGTTAAAGAATTAGGTTTTCATGGAATATATCATTGTCCCCTTTTTAATACCTTCAAAGGCCAATATGAGCAACTTTCATTCATCATTTTATACAGTGTTTGATCGGTGATACTAGCAAAAATTTTAACGGCAAAAATGTATTTTTCATTTTACAAATAGAAAATAAACGGCAAAATAGTATTTTAAATAATCTTTTCTCGAAAAAGTATTTTGTATTTGCATTTTAAATAGAAGTATTTCAAATAAATCACATCTCTGCCCCTTATACGTAAACCTAAAAGTATTAGACCGTGTTCGGTTTATACCCATTTAATATTGTAATATTTGTATAGTTGAACATCGTCGGTTAGTGTGTGTTCATCAAAAAATACCCTTACTAAATGAATTAATTGGTTAATTTTTTCTTTTCAGAGCATGCAATGTGCGTCTGCAATCGGACATGGACAGTTTTGCATGTAATATGGAGTGTGATGTATGTGTGCTGTGGAGCCGCCCAACTTGTTGCCGGGATATTTTTTGTTATTTCGTTACCAGAACTACATCTTAGCAGTAACATATGGGCGGGGGCCTGGGTATGGACCTTTTTTTTATCCCACTAGCTTAATTAAGTTTTAGCGTTTTATTTAAAAACAAAATGTAAACTAAGTCGACGAAAATTCACAAAACGGAACTTCTAATTAAAAATTAAGATTACATATTTCTATGAATATGTAAGAGATTAGGGCCTACAGATAAGTCTTTTGTAGTAAAAAGCATCATTAGAATTTAATTAGCTACTTTTTTTTAGTAAAAAATTATATTTTCCAATCAGAGCATATACTACAGGGTGGCGTATTTGGAAATGGTCCACCGCATTATTCTAGAATTTAGATCATCAAATATGTACAATTATGATTGTTGTAACCATTAGAAAAGAATGAGCATTGATCAGAAAAGCATGTCGAATATAAAAAAATTGGCATCGTTCGTAGTTCTTTCACTCATTTACTCACAAAATTGAAAATTCTTGCAGTTTCCCTTAGCATTTCATTGTTCTTAAAATACAGAGTGACAATTTCAATTTTCTCTCCAATGCAATAAACCATGATGATTTTGGATAGTTTGCTCCAAAATTAGTTAATAGTAGAAAACACTTTTTAAATAATTCTAATATTAAAAGAGAATAATGTTTGAAAACACTAATAATAATCTAACTAATAATAATCATAATGGCCGATAATGGCAACAATTAAAAAAAGAATAATGGCTGCCAACACCAACAATGCCGACTATGACAACAATTAAGAATGTGATGGCTAACAACAGTGTACAATTGGAACAAACATTACCTCCTTGTTGACATTCAATTACCTTCTCAGGATTTTGATTACCGCCTATTTTTTGGTAGTTCATACATCCGATTTTACCACTGATTATTTTAAATCTTTTTTCTTATATTTGTAATTAAAAATGATATGCTACTTGACCTCTATGATATGCTACTTGACCTCTCGTGTCTTTTAAGATTCTTGAAGAGATTGCCACCCCCTTTAAAAAGATGACCTTACATTCATGACTTTGCAATCAAAAAATGTCCCTCTTGAAAATTTTTCAGGTGAATAGTTTTAAATGCTCCACCCTGTATATTCTTCAGAATGTTTCGACTGAATAAGCAACCACCCTGTATAGTACTTTGAGCCAAATCGGCTGAGTTGTTTGAAAGTTATGCTTTAAAAAAATACAAAAAAAAAAACAGACGTAGGCAGGGGTACTTAGTCCATCCTTCCTTGCTGTATTTCGTAATATTACACTACAAATGTAAAAACCACCATTTAAATATATGTATTTACATACTTAATAGTATAAGAATTTAATTTTTAAAATTATTAAACAATTTAAACAAGTTTTCCAGATTCTGTTATCACTTTTCTGTTTGTTATAAAAATTTATTAGGATGCAATCATAACAATTTTAATAAGTGTTTCTAATCTTAAGCCAATATCCAAGTAATTTTCTCACTTTTATTTGGAGATCACATGCGTGACGGATTATCCCGGTGGAACCCCCTAGTCAATCAAAAAATCACGATGCTCCAAAGATTTTTTGACTGACTCGGTGCTGGGAAGGCTCCATCGGGTAAATTCGGTATCGACGTGATCTCTAAATGAGAAGATTGCTTCGAAATTGATTTAAGATTGGAAACGCTTCTGGTTTGTGTGCTTACAATGTTCTCACCTGTAAATAGATTCACAAGGTATGAGAAAATAAGAGAAACAACACAAAGCGCAATTAACAACGACCTTGGCATGATGTAACGTAAAATTATATTCAGACCGGTGATTTTTTTTTCTTTTATTTATTCTTCCCTCATCATGATTTGCACATCCGGAGAAGAAGCACATCATTCTTATGTACAGGTATACACAGAACATACGTATATTGTATACCTGTAAGTTTTACGAGCTCAATAATATATAGTAACATTTTACAATGGAATTATTGTATACAGGATTTTTTTGAAATAAGTAGCAAGCTTTGGAAGGTGTTAACTAGATGCAATAGGGAATCAAAAAGAATTGTAAGAAAACTAGAAGAAATTACAATCCGAAGCCGACCCTGGGCGTCAATTTGCAACGCAGGTGCGATAACAAGTAGCTACATCGATGGAGAGTGTAAAAAGTGACGGTTGTGGAACGACTAGTACAGCAGATACCAACAGTTTGCTGCTACACTACTACACGTGATAATGTTTAGACGCCCGTTACCATAAAAATTAATCAAATAACTACTTGTGCTAAAGAACACGCTGCAAGGCGTCTACGAAAATCATTTGAGTTGATCGAAAGCTTCCGGCATTTGGCTTATTTTATTTGCAGGGATCATCACACGTTCGTGCAAATCGTTAACATTCTGCACATGTGTTTGATATACACTAATAATCCTCTACTTTCATCGAACTTCATGCAAAGAAGTCAAGCAGATTTAGATCTAGAGTAAGCGCTGGTCAAAGTGCAGGACCCGTACGTCCAAACCAGAGTTAGTACTAATCAATGCAATAATACTATTCTGCACTGACCTATGACTCTGACACACTGACCTATTACTAATGACATCAACTGACTACATACATACAAGCCTGCAACTTTAAAAGGACAAACTCTATGATCAATCACGCTTAATCTACCCTAACAAATAACAAACAATGCATGAGTCATCAAAGATACAAAAGATATAATATAACTTGGATGCTGCTAAGTTCCATCTAATCGAATGATCCTACAGAGCCAGTCCGGCCCTGGTAGAATCATGCAAGGGCTGTACATTCAAATACGTTTTTCTCGAAAACGGTGAACTTTTGGATCTTCAAACATTTATTTAATTTTCTTGTTTTATGGAACCCCATAACCTTCTCTTACTACTTATTTCAAAAATACCCTGTATGATGCTCTCGTTAAGATGAATGTATGCATCACATGATGACCACATTTTTATTAACCGTAAGAGGAGAAAACAGGAGACCTGTTGCTACATTAAAATTGGAATAAACTAAAAAAAAAAACACCTTTTGTCTATCTATACACCCCGTCACCTCCACCCGACACTAGAAGCGATCACTAGCCATCGCCACTAGGATTCGAATCTTGAAATTGAAGAAAACCCTTTGTATAGTTTTTCTTAATATCACTTATGAGCGAGAGATTCCGATATATGTGAGCCCAAAATAACAATATTGGAAGAGAATTAAGCCAAAATAATGTTAAGGAGACAGTAAAAATCTTGAAGAAAAAGTCATATGTACAGTGAAACAAATGAATTTAAATAGCGTAATGACAACTATAATATCTTTACCGCTAATATTACTATTGCCATTACTTGTTCCGATTTTGAGTTCGTAATCCAAATTTTTTAATATTTTGTTATTTTATTGATTTTAAAAATTAAAATATACTTTTGATACATTAAAATACCTATATGTATGTATGCATACAGTATAATAATAACATTCTTTACTTGAAAGGGCCACAACAGACGAAGTGAGATCCATTTCTTCCTCCTAATGGAAAATCGCGGGCAAAATAAGAAAAAATTCAGACGTTATTGCGAAGGCGTGAAGTAAAACAGATGAAGTTTTTCTGCTCGGATATCTCCAAACGATCAAATTTATTTGTTTGTTTGTTACTATTTCACGCTTCAACTACTCAACTGATCATCATGAAATTTTGAACACACATTGTCAGAATAGCACATAGGGTACCTTTTATCAAAAAAAAAAAAAAATACTGTTCCCGAGGGATAGAAAAATTAGTTTTATGTGATGGTCGATGATTTTTAACATGTACTTAGGACATCAACGCGAGCAAAGTCGTAGGTAAAAGTTAGTATTTAATAAATTTTTGGAATGAACTAGAAACTAACTAATGTAATGAAAAGTAATAAAAAAATATTTGCCATCCACAAAAATATAGTAGTCACATTTCTTTAACGAAATAAATGATATATCGATTCCGAATAATATTAACGTTTTCCAGCTGTTAAAAAGGCGATCACTTCTCAAATGTCCGGAAAATTTTAAAAACTGTGTCATTTTATTAACGAGAGAAGCAATAAATATTGAATATGACAAGTACGCTACGGAAAAATGATTTCTGAGCTTGTAACTTTCTAAAATACACGATGTACTCTAAACTAGGTAGGTAACAAAAATACTCCAACAAATTTACATAATAAATTCACGGAATTTTCAAGAAAACATTCAAAATATAGTATGCATAAGTATATGTATATATAGCAGGTATATTTTCTAATTCTAATTAGAACCCACTTGTTAAGCGCCATGTGTTTTGTAAAAGTATATTTTTTATTTTAGTCACTTTTTATGCGCCTTGTAGAAATACAATATATTAACTCATTTTCGCTTAACAGAAAACAAAAGAAGAACAAATAATTACCATTTAGAAAAGCTCCAATATTAAGTGCAGTTACATTAGAGATGAGATAGGTACCCAGTTTAGATCCGGTACTAGGCAGATCCGGCACTTTCTTTAGAATATCCGGCCGCGTATCGGATACCTAACGATGCCGTGTAATTCAACCACAGCGAAAAACAATTAACAATTTGAAATAAATAGTATTAAAGCGATTCAATATTTTAGTTTAAATTGTAAGAAAGACCAGATTACATATTAAATAAGCTATAAGTATTTACTCAAAATTTATTGGGTTTCTTAAAGTTGCCTATATTAATTGTATTTAAAATCTCAAAACGAAGAAACTTTGGATATTTATAAAAGTATATAATTATTAAAAGAATGTATAAATGTACACTCCAAGAAAATCAGAAGAGAAAGAAAAATTATTTAATGGAGAGAGGATGGGCGATTAAACACTGCAGGTGGAAACTGGAAAAAGACAGATATGTATGAAAAGAGCTGGAAAATTTAACTGAAGACATTGATAAGCAGAAAAAAAGAGAAAAATGAAAATAAAATTCGCAGAGGAATACAAGAAAATATGGAAAGAAAGGGAGGAAAAACCAAATTATTTGAAAGACGAAAGAACAAAGAGTAAAAACGAATTAGTTTTAATAGCGAGA